AATTTAATAAATGTTAAGTTCAAACACAATAACAATGAAAACGTTAATTACTTTAATAGCAACTATTGTATGGATATTCAAGTTTTAATTAGAGTCTGCGCTTGAATTCATAGCTAATTATTTAATTATTTAAATAGATGGCTAAAATTAAATTCAGTGTTAAATAAAGTGTTGAAAAGTAGTGTTATATTGATATTCCCCCCAAAAAAATTATAGCAACGAATTCACTGTTTCGTGACTTTTATTAGATTATTAAAAAGTGTTCATAAAATTAACATTACATTAAAACAATGGCACAGTTTTTTTTAATTATTATAGTATATGTCAAAAAACAATTATTCATAAAAATTACATATTTTTACAGTAAAATTAAAATCAAATTAATAATGAAATACAAGAATTCAATCGCTGTAATGATAATATATATAAACGGTATTACAAAATACAAGCATTTAATTGAGTGTTAATGTCGTGAATAATGATTGTCTACATCTAAAAGTATTTTTGCTGGAGATTCTTTGGTACAAAAAACAAATGTTTGTCCAATGAATTACACGATATATATATAATAGAGACAATTAGTTATTATATAAGACAGTAATGCGAACATTATTAATGAGATTTGAAATCCAATAAAAACACGATTATATTCAATACACTTTCGTATATAAATTTATATAACGAGAAAATCGTTCACTAATTCATTCGTTACTGAAAGCAATACAATAGAGTATTAATACAGATATGATTACAGCGATTGATAGTAGAGTACAAAACAGTAAATTTGAAAATCATTTCTTATACTTAATTATATAAAATTTATAAAAAATATAATAATTGACTCTAAAACAGATGTGTTGTCGAAGAAATTAGTTTGCGTTTAATTATAACTTATTTTATGTATTACATGATTAGTTGCGTCCGCCGTCGCGTTGCAATTTTTTCACTTGTTTTGAGTCGAGATCTCCATAATATTTCTCACTGTTTAGGGAAACAAATTTTTTTCATATGTATTAAACAAATTGAGGTCATAGTTAATGCACGCATACCATCCAGGTACGTTTTCTGGATCATCGCATTGCAACGATTCCACGTTGAATACGGTGCCTATACTGCAGCCTATTTTTTAAATTACAACAAATATGATGTTATGAATCGCATCGATGTAATCACATTCAAGATTACATTTTAAATGAATATATATTTCACACAAATCAAAACATTCGCTATAATGTGAACAGGACTTGGAGTGACAGTAATGTGTACCGTAGAGATAACGGTGCAAATGTGCTAATGATGTATATATAATAGATAGCAATTTAGGGGAAAGGGATGGAATACTATCTAAATTCATTAGTAATCCATAGAATATAAGTAATCCGTAGTATTTAAACAAAATATAGTTAATAATATTTTTTTAAATTCCATGTTTTGTGTACTATACCGAGGTATTCATTATAGCAAACAATTGATTTGTGATCCATAAATATAGAGAATATGCTAACCATAAGGTCGGGCGACACTCTCTATGCAGACGTAAAACTTTCGGCAGTCAGTGGGGTGGGCGTGTCGGGTGTAGTGGCCGGGCTGGTCGGTCTCAGTCGGGTCTGCCATTCATCGTCATTCAAATAGGGGTTAACAAAGAGTGTCATATATATGCTTTTGAGGGTAAATATAATGAAATGATTGCATACCCGGACATACAAAACCATCGCTAATTTCTATATAAGGAATAAATATATAAATTTAATGAATTAATAAGAAAAAAAAGTTTGTGTCTTATTATATGAAATGTTTACTCAATTTTTACTCTTTTTTGGGCATAAAATATCTCTTACAGTATGTCATGTCATATATAT